GTGTGTGTGTGTGTGTGTGTGTGTGTGTGTGTGTGTGTGAGAGACAGAGATTGAGGTGTTCGTGCAGCAGTGGCTCAAGGTTAAAGACAAAAGCACTGGAAATGTCTTGGGGGGAGCTAAGTGGAGCATAAGCCAATGGGAAGTGGAACAGTAGGAGTCGCGACAATCTTGGTGCCCCCCCACGGGAACGAGGAAACGAGAACGAGCCGGTAACCAGGACAAGACGGGGTACTAAAAAAAAAAGGGGGCGGAAGAAAAGGGTTAGAGAGACTCATTCAGAAACATGAGCAGAAACTGACTTTAAAATGAAATATTAGACATAACGAGAGTAAACAGACTTCATCGTTGTCTTTCAGAATGTCCTGCGGTTTATTAGTGTTACATACACTTTGATTAGAGTCACCCAGTCAGCATTGATTCAAATAGTTCATGCTTCGGCTCAGAATGCTCTAAGCCTTGTCATGTACATGTCGTCCGATAAGACAAGCCTCCAAATGTTGAGCTCATTTATTGATATGAGAACTTCTTTTCCACCTCACTCTTTCCTGTCACTCTGCGGGGAGGACTCCATCGGGATCGTATTATATTTTCAGTGATGGTGCAGCTGCTCGGTATGCTGCGTGGAGCAGGGCTCTCCTTCGTGTGCTCGGAGGGAAGACTCAGCAACCAGCAAGGCCAATAAAGGAGGCCTCACTCCAGTCTGATAGATAAGGCTAAAAATAGCCCTGCGACTCCCCGAGCGGGGATTATACTTCATCAATGCCAGGCGGGCGGGGGCGCAGAGGAATGGTTTAGAGTAGAGCGGGCACCCGGTGAGTATCTATTGTCACTGGACAAATGCCAGTGCCACCTCTGTTTTTCTAGAAGTAGAACTGGGGTGGCAGGTTTGCCTCTCTGGAGACTGTGGAAGCCAACATGACGGAGGGAGGAAGCTGACTGTGTTTTTGTTTGCTTGCATTTGGGTTTGATTGGACTGGATGTGGGGTGGGGTGGTTTGGGATGTGGTGCTTAGCTGGTACACAGACTTTATTAAAAATCTTTATTGCAGGTTCGTGCAGCACTGTTGCAGGCTGGGAAGTATTGTAGGTGGAGGGAACAGAGAGAACGTCTCACCTGGCTACATGTGTGGAAGGAAAGAGATGATTTGGTACTTTTAAAGGTCAGAAGGCATCTCGTCTAGGTTAAAACTGAGGTACACTTGGCTAAGCGAGAGATCTAGATTACATGTTTCAATTTAATTATATGTTTCAGCGGGACTAGTGATTATACTTATCTTTGGATAACATACCAACTACAGAGTGCTGCAGAAATGAGTCAGAATTTGTTCACTTCCTGTTCCCTTGTCTCAAAGTCGACGTGTTTTAGT